ATATATATATATATAATCTTCCAAAGAGAAGGGAAAAAAGAGAAAGAAAGAAAAGCAGATCCAGTGGAAGGAAGAATGTTTAATCAATGGCATTGAGACAAAGAGCTATCTGTTTGGAATAAAAATAATATTAGATCCTTACACCCTGCACCATATAGAAAAATACATATATTACTGATGGATCCAAGAGCAAAAAATAAAAATGCAAATACCCAAAATTCTACATACAAATTTAGAGGCATCAGAGACTCCCCTAAATACCATCCATCAATCCCATATCATCATCTAGAAGAATTGTTGACCATAGCTTCTATTAAAATCTCAGTGTCAAGTATTAGATGTTGTTTCAAGGTTAAGTCACATGCAGCAAACAAAGATGAACGCATGAACTCATTGCTGTCACTTTATAAAACCTCAAACTGGAACTAGAAACACATAGAGGCATATCAATACAAATGGATACTGACTTAAAAAGACACCAATTTAATACGCTTGACTGCACACTATGCCTATGGACCCACATGTCTGTTAGCCTTTCAGAAATATAAAATCAGATGCATCTGTAGTACTCAAAATTCAATATGTGCAATGTTATTCTCAAACTTGATTAAAATATTAATAAATACAAGTTATGTTTTAATATGGACAACTGCAACATACTTGAACATCTAAACATATAATAGGAACTCTATAGTATTAAAATGCAATACTTCCACTTGCATTAATCTCAGACACAATGGAAAAATACTTGCAAAGAATTAACATTAAGAATGCAAATATATTTTCACTGTGGAAGAAAAATTATAGTAATATGGTTAAAAATCATATATCTGCATAATCTGCAATGAAGCTGTAGACAGTCTACATTAGGATATTTCTATTTTAAAATGAAAACAGTTCCGTATTAAAGTTTACAACAAGTTTACTTGAGGCAAAATATCTGTTTATTACAGAACAGGATCTTAAGTCAAAGTAAGCAAGGCAACATTAAACCACTTTAGAATTTTTAAAGGAAGCATAGCTTTAAAATTGTAATAAAGGCAAACATAAATTCTAACATGCTCATTCACATCTTCTTATAAATGGGATGATGTAGAAAAACAAAGCTTCAATGTGTAGGGATTGGAGCCATCTGCAAAAATTCAAAAAGAAAAAGTTAATATTAGCTCACGTTTCATCAACTTTCAGTTCACCTTGAATAAGTAGATTATTTTACCCTTTGATTAAGCATTAGAAGTACGATTATAAAGAAAAAGGTCTATGTAGGTAAGGATAAAATTTCTATTCATATCAACTAGAAGGTAACTCACTGTTCATTGTTATATTCCTACTGTTCTAAACATTATCTGGCATTATCAAAGGCATTCAACATTTAGTGAATTGTTAAAAATAAGGCATCAGGATCAGATCTACAACTACCAGCAGAGCTCCTTTTGCAGAAAATACTGTCAAAGGTAACTTGTTCATAGAATCAATCCAAATACACAGCTCTGGAGGGTACACAATGCTATCTGTCAGCCCAAAGGTTCTGAAAACTGGATCAGCAATAGAACAAAGTTCTAAAATACTTCAAAAGAGGTTGGGTATAAAAATATTTGTATTCTGAAATTTTTTCTCTCATTTTCCAAGCAGAGATATCGCTTCATCAATTGATTATTTTTAAAAAATCAATGCAGAGAAGCAAGTCTGCTATCTTATTATATCAAACTTTTGGTGCTAAAAGCTCCTTAGGGGGTCGGGGAAAAGTACTTTCATCAACAAGTGTTGACAAGCGTCTGTAGAGGATAAGAAGAAATAGCTGTCCCAACGCCAATAAGTTTACAAGTCATGCACTTGAGGATACAAGGGGCTTCAGTAAGTTCATGG